GCGGAACTTCGGTTCCGGGCACAGTGGGGAAAACCCCTATCGCGCGTTGGCGCGTCCAAGGCGCGTTTACACGGCTCGATGCGCAACCGCCATGCCTGCCCTATGTGTGCACTACGCGTCCCGGCCCTCCCTACCTCCGACATCCCTGTGCTCTGGGGAAGCTCTCTGCAAAGTGCTGGCAGCTGGAGCAAGAAGCCCATACGGTCTGTATATCCACGCCGTCACGAACTACGCATGTCGTGCATGCTCTGCGTCTGTCGTGGCCCTCGCCAGTCACGACTACTCGGGCACAAGATCGAGTTCCCGTTATTCATGGTCCTGATCATTGCCCTCCTCAACGACGGTACCATTATTATGCTCTCGCTCGACCGTGTCTTACCTCGAACACTCCCGACTCCTGGCACTTGCTAAGACCTTCGCCTACGCCCGCGTACGGTCTCCACCTCACCCTGCCGATTTAAGCAATTTTTGTTTGTTTGTTGCGATCTTCACGCTGACACTTTGCTTAGCATTTTCCTTGTCATCGTCAGCAAGAAGTTCGTTGTCGTGCTTACCACGCCCTTTCTCTCGATCACCTACCTCCAGGTCGCTATCGTCTCGCAGGCACCCGTTCCCGCAGCTTCTCTGTGGAGCGCCCGTCGTACGCTCTCGTGTGCGTGTTCTGCTTGGCCCAGTTCGTCAGGGCGACCATCGCCGTCTGCGCCGACTGGGGCTTCACCGACATTGAGGGATTTCCGGTAGCCGGGTCGGCATTGTCTGGATGTGGGTATATTTATCCTTCCCTGTGCTGTCGAACATGGTGCTTACTCTCCTCTTTGGAACATCGTCTAGCTCCTCCCGCTCGACTTGATCGAGTTCGCCATGAAGACTACCCTCATCAAGTGGCTCCACGCCCACGAGTACCAGGCCGACCGGGAGATTGCCGCCCAGACCGAGGGTGCCCGCTCACGCGCGCCCGGCCCCGCGCTACGTCGACCAACCAGAATCCTGCTACAATCACGCGCACCTTGTCATCGCGCGGTACAAGGGGGCTCGTCCTAGCACTCGTGTCTGTGCCAAGTCCGAGGAGCTCTGTGCTTGAGTTGTTTCTAGCTCGCACAAGCCTGTGCCATGCTCTCACAACATCCTTGCCGAAGACCCGTTCGCAGCCACTCGTCTCGGTGCATTCATCCGACCTTGTCTTCACCTCGTTTACTTTATAGTGGCTTTCCCCCGGACAAATTCCCTACTACTTCTTATCCCGACCTTTGGTACAATGGCTACGTTTTGTGTTTGTACATGCAGATTTACTCTCGCCCCTCTCGGACTGCGAAGCTCGGCATATCTGGTACGATACATGGTCTACAAGTAGTTCTATACGAAGAGTCTGCTAGACAGGCCTGAATGTATACCTTGCTATGAAACACCCATTATGACTATCCACTCGGCAATACATCGAATCGTAGTCTAGTCGTCGCACCGCACCGCGCGCGACTGTCTCCACCTTGCTTGCTGCAGTATCCTCGCTACAAGCAATTCTATGGCTTGCATGTCTTACTGCTCTCTGGACGTAGTGTAGACATCTAAAATATTTCGAGGTGCACGTACAAATCGGGCAGGTGTGTCGACATGTGTTTCGTCGACCAGTTGCCCATGCTGTTGCCACCGGGGGCTTTGACTCGATGTCGCAACCGGAGGTTGGGAGGCCGCATATCGCATAAGAGGCACAATCCGTGCAGACAGGTGAAGTACGAACACACCTTGGCCCTTGGTTTCATACTGCGACAACAACCCGTGTGATTGTGTGTTATCCTGACGGCGTCCTTGGTCGTGAGCCAGGACATGAAGGATTGCTTTCTAGCTCACAGCGATCCAACATGCTGCTGGTCTGAATTCGGTCAAGGCCCTCTCTGCCGATGGCATCGCGAACGATGTCCCAATAGTAGGTGTGTCTGCATCCACGGGCGGCTCATTGGGTACTATTGTCTTACTTATCAGCTTCCGATACACTCATAGCGCAATGCTAAACAACATGCCGTCGCGAGCGGCACCGGGAGGTGAATCGAGTGGTGGTATCTCTGGGTCGGAGTCCATCTCCGCGGCGGCCTCCCCCGAATCATCACTTTCTTGCTCACGAAGGTCTTAATGCTGACCCCAGATATCATACGGAAGCAGAGTACGTGGACGACATACTCTGCAACTACAGTACTTGGCGGCAGGGATGTATGGCATTGGAACGAGGGCAAGAACACCGACGCGACTCGGGAACACAGCACCGATGTAAACATCGCGGGCATCGCCGAACAG